CAAGTAATCGTGGGACAACACAGTAATTTGACGAATTTTATGAATTTTTTTGAAATTTTACTAGTAAAGTATATAGTAAAGTTTCACAAAACTCATAAAGTTCTAGGAAATGCTATGTTGTCCTATAATTACGTGATTTTCGGGGTTTTGAGAGAAAATTCTCTTCGTGTACTTAAGTACACGATACGGAATCATATATACATATACGGGTGACGCGAAAGCAAATTGATATTTTAACGTGTTTTCATAAATATTCCCTGTACGTACGCCATGCGCGATAGAGCGCCGGTGACACGTTAATAAAACCGGCGCGTTAATTGCTGAATTCCTCATTGATTAATAGCGCCGGAGACTTCGGGCAGGGGGGGGGGGCGGGGGCCGAGTGAGCCGACAATTTCAGAGCCGGGAGAAATAGCTGGTCTCCGCGGCGCGGATATCTTTACACCGCGGAAATAATCCTGAGTCATAATCGGTCGCGTTGTTCTTATTTTATTATTTAATATTCGCCGGCGCGCGATATCATCGCGCGATAAAACGATTCGCCGCCACCGGGATATTTCGTTCGCGCCCGAGTTTTAATTAATACTCAAACGCTCTTGGATATATTTTACATAAAAATGGCTCTGCGAAGAATGGCTCTCGTCTGTTATACGAATAAATAGGCGCTGACAGGCGCGCGATCGATATCGGCCAACAAGCGATTTCAATTACATTTTGTTACCTCTTGTAATGAGGCGCAGTTTAATCATCGTTGAATTACGCGAACGCGCGGGGAAATATCCTCCCCCCCCCCCTCCCCCCGTGTATATACCTGTGTTTGTGTAAATTGCTGTTACCGACATTGTGATAAATGTGTACGCCACTCGCGCTGATACGATGGCACTCTTGCTATTAACGATCTTTATGGTGTCAATCAAATAACTTGGTAACTCGGCCTTACTCCCCAAGGTCCCCCCACCCCTCATCATTGATTAATGGTTTGCGGCGAAGGATCTTCAGAAAGTTTCGCAGCTTTGTACGCGTGGAGGAAATATGGTGTGTATAACGCGGCGCTAGCGTCCCGCTATAATCCTCCTATTTATAAACCGCTCGGTAATTTAAAAATCTTTAGAAAAATAGCGCGGTCCTTTATCAACCTTAAGTAAATCTCCGCCAGCAGGAAGGTGCATCCTCACAACTTCCCAACGCCGTCGCGCCACTTTTCCGAGGGGGTAAGAACACGCGATTGAAAGTTGCAACGCGCAACGTGCCCCGTGTGATAATCAGCCTTAATTAGCAGCGACGATTTGATGCAATCCCGTGAAATTACATTGAAAAGAATTCCTAATATTAGACTGAATCCCCGGTTTTATACACGGAGAGAATTTTCTCTTGAAATTTATCCTGAAAATTACACGGAGAGAAAGATGTAGTTGCCGCAGCTAAAAACTGCTTGTGGCAACTAAATTTCAGTTGTAAAATATGGACAGCTAATATTTAGTTGTAATAGCTAAATATTTTGCTACTGTGCCTATTGTATTAGATGCGATAGCAAACCGTTTGCTGTGGTTTCGAAATTTATAGTTATGGCAGCATAATATTTCAAGCAAACCATGATTAGTTATGGTAGCGAAATTTTTCTTTTCAGTGGCGGTGACAACGCGGCATTTTCAAGACTATTATCAGATTTTTGTATAACTTTACTAATTTTACTAGTAAAATTGTAAAAAACTCAGAAACTTCTTTAAAATGCCATTTGTCGCACAATTGCATAATTTTCAGGGTAAATTTTAAGAGAAGATTCTCTCTTTGTGGAAGTTTCCCGAAATTTTACCATACATTTTACTAGTAAACTGTATGCTAATTATTAACAAAATGTCAAATTTCAAAAACTCTCATACAGTTCTTAGAATTTCCTCTTAAAATTTATCCTGAAAATTGTAATCGCGGGACACCACAGCATTTAAATGAATTTTATGAAAGTTTTTGAAATTTTACCATACATTCTACTAGTAAAATATACTAATTGCAAGTGTAATTGCTAATGAAATGTAAAATTTCAAAAACAGTCATAAAGTTCTTAGAATTTTTTTAATTTATCTTGAAAATTGTATGATTGTAAGACACTATGGGATTTCAAAGAATTTTATGAGTTTTTCGAAATTTTACCATACATTTTACTAGTAAAATATATGCCAAGTATAATTGCTAGTAAAATGTAAAATTTCAAAAACTCTCATAAAGTTCTTAAAATTTTTTTTTAATTTATCCTAAAAATTATGTGATCGTGGGACACTACGGGATTTCAAAGAATTTTATGAGAGTTTTCCGAAATTTTACCATACATTTTACTAGTAAAATATATGCTAAGTATAATTGCTAGTAAAATGTCAAATTTCCAAAACTCTTATACAGTTCTTAGACTTTTCTTTTAAAATTTATCCTAAGAATTATGTTATCGTGGAACAACACGACATTTCAAAGACTATTATCAGATTTTTGTGTAATTTTACCATACATTTTACTAGTAAAATTTCAAAAAACTCATAAACTTCTTTAAAATGCCATATTGTTGCACAATTATATGATTTTCAAGGTAAATTTTAAAAGAAAATTCTCTGTGGAAATTTTACCATACATTTTACTAGCAAACTGTATGCTAAGTATAATTACTAGTAAAATGTCTCTCTCAAATTTTCAAAACTCTCATACAGTTCTTAGACTTTTCTTTTAAAATTGATCCTGAAAATTACGTGATCGCGGGACATCACGGCACTTCAAAGAATTTTATGAGAGTCTTTTTGAAATTTAATCATACATTCTACTAGTACTTACATTTAGATACTTTACTAGTAAAACATATGATAAAATTTCAAAAACTGTGACAAAGTGGTTCGAAATGCCGTGTTGTCCCACGATCACATAATTCTCGGGATAAATTTTAAAAGAAGCTTCTCTCCCCATGTATTATTGATTGCTTTATCACATAAAGCTATGGGGATCGCTGACCCGTGCGCTCACAACGAGAGATATCACCGTGAGTCACCTCCCGCCACTCGAAGAGGAACGAATTTGCTCTGGCAATGGCGTTTACGTGCGGCTGCACGCGCGATGGGGGTTGGAAGTAAGACGCGCATTAAATCGGAGTGACAGGCGCGTCGCGCGGAGTGATGCGATCGGGAAGACGGATGCGAGACCATTTTCCGTAACTGGATAACGGCTACGCTTTTTCAGCTGGAACAATCGCAGTGCCCCCCTCCGGCTCGATACGACTGCGAAGGGCACATAACTGTCGTTGGGCGGCGTGATTCACATGAAAGATTGCACGCGGCCCGATACATTCATGGGGTCGCGGGGCCATAAATGTTATTGTTGCTGTTAGCTTTATTACACTTGCCTCGAGAAACGTTCCTTATTCCCGAGTGTCCGCGCTTTCTCGTCTCCTCCGCGCGATCGTATCACGCCGGAACTGCGCGCGACTATATCGAGATAAAATATTCGCCTCGGAGAACGACGGGTGGGGAAAATTGCATAATACGTTTTGTAAAATGTCGACAAATCAAAGCGATGCGGAGCTGCGATATCGACGTTACGCGCGCATTTGTGAGCCGCCATTATGTAACGTCGCGATCGAACACGCCGCTCGTTTCGTTTCCTCCCGCGAGACGCATCTCCCGTCTTGTGATTCAGTAATTCTGCATTTTGATAGAAACCTTTGTATCGTTAGACAAAGGATAAAAAGGCAGGGCAGACTTCACGCCTCGTTAACTTTGAGAGCGAAGCGCGTGACTCGGTCGATTTGCCGTTGCGCACTCAGAAAGAGTATTTACGCCTGCTCGCACCGTCCCATTTAGCTTGATCAATGAACTTTGTTCGGTTCGATAATATCGCGCGACTCGTATAAAGCATCGCTTGACGATCGCGCCGCAATCGCAGTAGATATATCGAACTAATGTTCGCTCTAGTTCCATGGCTTCCTGCCGTCGGGGATGGCGGGATCGTATTACTATCTCGACGCCGCATTGTCACGAGAATGTGCCAATATGACTCAGAAAATATTCCCGATACTCTGACTTCTGTTTACCGTTGCCCCTCGTTTCCCTCTTGAAAAACATCAGTTTTCACGGAAACACGCTTGTAACGTAAGTCGAACTTACGTGTTCGTTACAAGTTGGATGATGGCTATTTATTCGCTCGCGAGTATCGCTGAGTATCTCGAAAACTTTGTGGAAGGATACACGGAGAAAAGAAAAAAGTCTACGGTTCGATCAGGGTTTATAGTTTTCCAGGGCATGACGTATTACCACGTCGCCGAAGAGGAGTGGCAAGATCGTAACGTAGAAATCAGGAACTTCGGAATTCGGAACGATAAGTATGTGGCAAAGCAAAATAATTGCTCCGTTGTCTCCAGACTCGATACAGTATCGAATAATTAAAATTAGGCTCTGTTTGGCAAAATTTGCTGGCGCACGGAGAGAATTTTCTTTCAAAATTTACCCTGAAAATCAAGCGATCGTGGAACAACGTGGCATTTTCAACAATTTTGAGAGAGTTTTTTGAAATTTTACCATACTTTTTATTAGTAATTACATTTAGTACACATTTTGCTCCAAAAATTCTTCGAAACGCTACGATTACACGATTTTCAGGATAAACTTTAAGAGAAAATTATTTCCGTGTACGATTCTATTGTTTTAGACGCGTGACTAGGGCCAGTATTCATCTTTAGATACTCCAAGAAGTAGCTGAAATGAAACGTTCCATACAGCATCTTCAGATTCAAGACGATGTTGAATATAAGATCCGACTGTAAATATCCAAGATAGCAAAACGTGCGCGCGAAAAATAACAGAATTATTTTTTCATACACTAAATGGCGATCGTGTCGACGGCGTTCCCGTAGTAGGAGAATCTTAAAAAAAAATGTTGATCTACATTAGGAAGAGAGGCGTGGAGTATTATTTTTCCTGAGCGATTAAAGACGACGAGGTCGGAACAGAGTAGCGAAGTCGAGTACTTACGGTGACCGTATGGCGGTGATTCTCCGGTGATCGATGCGATACGCGGCGCGTCCTCGGAGACTTCGACGTCCGCCGATTTACGATAGACTTCTCCAATGGAGGCCGTGCAACGTAACTGTAAGTAGCCCTTGTGGAACATACTTCTTATCACTTTAAACTCGATCAGCGAGACCGTGGATTGTGTCCCGTCTTCATGAGTCGTAGTGTAATTCCGTTCATGGAACAGCTTCTCCTCCTGAAACAGCAAGAGGCACGAATCAATGCTCGATACGTGGATCTTCTCAGAAGATAAGATGGCGACGTGTACACTGATAGAAAAATATGTAGTATTTGAAGCTATAATTGCATACTAAAATGATTATAGTCAGGAATATCATTTTTATATAGTAATTAGTATATAATATATTAGTATACAGGGTGTTATGTAATACCCGCATCAACGCTTATTGTGGGATAGAGTGGACTAGACTAAGTCGAAAAGTCCTCTACCATTTTGCAATTTTCGCAAAAGTCAGCGAGTTATTAATTATTAAAAATCGCTGTCTTAGGCCGGCCCACTGCCCAATTCAAACGTGCGGCGAGATCGATCGATCGTTACTAGGCGTGCAGAGAGTTGTAACGATCGATCGATCTCGCCGCACGTTTGA